AAAGCATAGCATAACATAAAAGTACATTGTCCCTCATTAGCACAGAGCAGACAAAAGTGAATGTGGAAGTGCTTTAACACACACATTGTGTTTATTGGGATTCATTGTTGGAAATTAAATGATTAATGTTTAGGTAAGATTCATTTTAACTCTAAACCTTAATGACATGCATGATACTTGAAATTGTGTATCCACAGTTTCTGAAAGCCCTCTGGAAAAAAATTGTCAGTGTTATTTTTTTTATTTGTTTTTCTCTGCAAAACAACCTCCATCTGAGTGGTTCCAATAACTGAGGCTCCACTGAGCTAGTTTTGCGGGTTCCAGTCCAACCACATATCCCATATACATGTTTGTGCAGTAAAGTGTAACGGCAAACATCTGTCTTGCTGCATGTTTGATTAGTCTCCTGACACGAGTAGGACAAGATTGTTTACTGTTAGGAATTTGATTTAGAACAATATTGGTTCGTGTTTAAGGGCTCAAAATGTTTTCTGTGTGGATGTTTGTGTGTGCAAATGTATTTATTTATGTCTGCCTGGCTCATTGCTGTTGAATGCATTTTTAACGTATTTACATTCATGCAGATTTATTTACTATATTGTTGTTTCTTTGTCTGGATCCAGTTCACTAAGACTTGGCAATCTTGCTTCAGTGTTCAGGTCAGTGTTGCATTACAAAATGCAGGGGTGGATATAGAAAAATATTCATGGGGTGGTAAGAGGCTGCTATGGAGACTTTATGGGGTGGCAGAAAGATCAAATATATCAATATTTGTTTAGAAAGCACCAAAATGAAAATATCTGAACTCAAAAATATAATAACAGTATTGTGGTGCATTGGCAAAGCATTAGAAATATCTAAAGGTGGCATTAGAAATCAATAAATTGTTTTATTTCCACATCTTCAGACATTTTCCAAATACATGTCTCTTTTCATTTAACTTAAGCATATCACTTAGTCTAAAATGTGGCCATATCATTAAATAAATATCCATTTAACACATTTATTTTTAGAATTAATCTAAATGAATGTGTTAAATTTGACAGCATTTTACACCGAACTAGTGTGGCAGCTACGGTGGCCAGGAATGCCACCCTTCCAAATCTGCCCCTGCCTATCAGGCCTATGATGACTGATACTACTACTTTCTTTCGATTATATCACACGTTTGAGTAGCATCACAGGAAAACTTGCATACAAATTCTATTTATTGTGCCCCTAAAATCCTAGATACTTTTTCTTCTTCTCGTGTATGGGTTTTTAGAGTAATCATAGAGCAGCTTGAGCAATCAGATTAGAAAGCACATCTGACTCTCACACCTGGTGAAAATGCCAACCAGGAGACAACATAGCAATTGCCGTTGTCACTAAACATCTGGCCTTGCCATGGGAACACAACCATACACTTGTTGAATTACAAGCCCTATGTTGTGTGTTTGTTGCTGTCAGAGAAGTAGCCGTGCAACTCTTTAAAATCAGATTATGACACGCTGGCTTACACTGTGCATTTTCGCAACTCTGATACATCCACAAAATAATCCTCTAATTGTCTGTTTGTGTCTGTTAGACTGTTAGTTTGCAGCATGTAATCACAAAACATACAGACAGCATCTCAAGCACAATCACCCCATGGGGCTTTACAGAAATAGTCTCAAGACCACCAATCAGGTCAGTTTTAATGAGTTTTGGCCGATACAGATTGGCACCCAATCAGTCGACAGATTCCTAGTTGGTGTGGACAGCTCCCAGATGTGAAACTGTATAAGAGGCTGTTGGGTGGCCCTAATGGTTTCTAAAACTTTACTGCAACAGCGAGACGACAACAACAAAGGCCAGGATGTCAGGGAACAGATGAGCCTTTGAACTAATAACTGATCCTGCTCCTTCTTTATCACTTCAAGTTGTTGTTGCCTAGTTAATGCCCAGACTGTGTGATTATTAATAGGATGTTGCTGAAAATAGACTTGATCCTCAGTCTGCTTGTGTGGATGTACTGACTGAATAAGTCAAAGCTAAGAGCAGCATCAGTCTCAATGTGAGAAACGTTTAATGTTACCGTATACTCCCTCCCACCCGCCTGGGGATGTAGCAGTTTGATATTAAATAACAATGTGCAAAGGAAAGCCCTGGCAGCCATCGGACAGCCAGTCAGTCACTTTAACACAGCAGTCAACACTAGCAGCTGCATCGGTCTTCTGTATATGCTTGGCCTGCAGTCTTAATGGGGTGGCCGAGAACAATTTTAAAATGCGGTTTGTTCACAGTAAGGAAAGATTTAATGAATAGAGAGAAAAAGTAAACACAGTGTATATTTTCCCATGGGCTTTGGCACAGAGGGGGGCAACTGCCTCAACACTACTGTGGAAACAAAGTGCCCGAGAGTTGGCTACAAATCCAAAAATGAGAAATCGATCGATTATACGCAAATGCTTTCCTTTCTTTTTAACAGTCCTGTTTTTATTACCTAACTTCCAGTTTTCTCATGTCAGATTTATTTAAAACCCTCATTTTCAAAAGGCATGTTTTAGTGTTCAACTTTAAACTCTTTTAGTTTGTTCTGGTAGCTGCAGAAATCACCTATGTCTCTGCTTTGTGTGCTTGAGTAAAATATTTAATTTCTGTTGCCCAATTTTTGTGAATCTGTCTGGAGGAAGTCATTATTTTTTACTGTTTATATATTGTCCATAATAATGTGTGGCAATCATGCAGACAATATTCCATTATCCTCATAGTGGTGGGAAAAGGCCCTCCTGTAGATATCAGGGTGGCATTCAAATATTTTATTGTTCCCACCAGAAAAGTGTCAGTCAATATTTACAAAACTTATTCTGTCCTCTGGAAACTTTTTGTGAGTGCACAGCTGTTGAAGCTTGCTAAATAATAAATGGCGCAGACGGCAATCTTTTTGTAATTTTAATCATATTTCTCAAATATAAAACCTATTTTAGAATGTAAATCTATATTTTTTTAACAGTTTGTAGAGTTCTGCACATGCACATCAGAAAGTGTGAGTGTGGAACTTGAGATCTACTTCAGTGACACTTGAAGTGCTGATGACCAGCCTCAAGCTTTTAAAATCAAAGGGAAGTGCCAGGCTTTATGAAAATCTCAACCTGGAAATTGGGGCTTTGAGCCTTGAAACTGCATATTGCACAGATGTAGAGGCAGTGTGCGTGGGCAGCAGTACTTGTGACAATTTCCTCTGCTTCAGCATCTCATACATTTACAGCTTTATGTAGGCAGTCCCTTTCAACTTGGTCTCCATTTTATGCTGAAAAAGATCAGAACTCCTCCTTGGTGCGGGATATTTCTTTGAATAAGCCATACTTTGAAATATTAAATCCAAATTGAAAAATACATTAATGTCCACTCATAGCCGTAATTCAGCATTCAGCTTGATGTTAAGATGTATTGATGTGTAAATTGTAACAGCAATTTGACATCTGATGCTTCCCTGCTGTTGCTCTCCTACAAGTGTTGTGTTTGCGTGTGTTTGCGTGTGTTTGCGTGCGTGTGCGTGTGTGTGCGTGCGTGCGTGTGTGTGCGTGCATGCGTGCGTGCGTGTGTGTGTGTTCCTTTTGCCTCATGCTTTAGCATTCTTCTGTTAATGACATCTACTGTAGCACTAGAGTATAACATGGTTTTACAGCAGCCTGAGTATGGGTGGTCCATTTACTTTGGCTCTTATAACATAAGCCCTTTGTCATCATGCAGTAATATTGAAGCACATTTTTTGCTAACATGCTTTATGGAGGCAATTATACAGTATTTTGATCATTCCGAGCAATTGGAGATGAACAAAATTGCTTTAAAGAATGAGGGCAAAATCACTCTAGGTAAAATGGTGAGTTGTAAAGAGCAAAAGGATAATGAAAAAATATTGTTGGTCATAAATGTTGGCAGCTCTGCACATCTACATTGTCTGAAAATATTACCGGCATATCATCAGTGTGGCACAACATTGTTATAATTATAATTTCTACTCGTCTTTCTCTTCCAGCCCTCGAGGGGCTCCATATGTTGTAGTGTTGGACAGTCCTCACTCTCCTCTTCACATCTCCTCTCCTTCCTCTCTGCTCTCTTGCCAAGTGGTTTGAAACCGTCCAGCCTTTCCATCTCTAACTCATCTCATGCTTGTTTTCTCCCCTCTCATCTCCTTATTTTGCTCCTCTTGTATGTCCGTCTGTCATCGCATTCCAAGTGCGGCTTAATCTGCGCTTACATTGTAGGGACAGACATGCTTTGCGTTTGTAATCGTCCACATTACAGTCTAAGAAATGCTGTGAACAATGTTGAGATAATAGAACAAGTAAGGAATGAAAAATCCTGCAGTGCTGAACTGAAATGTTGAACTGACAGTGGGTTGCTATCACTTATTGTTTCCTAAATACTGTAATACTTCTAAAAACTGATTACTGAGGAAGACACAAATATTATAAAAATATTTCCTGCAAACAGGTGTGTGGAAAGGAAAAAATAAAAAAACCTAAAATTACTGGACCTTGTAAGGTGATACAATAATAGCCCTTTGTGCTAGGCAATATACTGGATGAATCAGTATACTGGTTATTATTCCGATATGATATGATAGGAATTTTTTATTATCCAGCCTTACCTTTGCATAGCTGAAACAACTACTGTAACTTATTTGTTCTGATGCAATAGAACATTTGAGAAATGTCTCAAGAAATACTAGAAAAGTGTATACATGACAAAATGTTTTTGAAATCCACCTTAACAAAGGCAACACAGAAGTACTGTATAGCATTCTTACTATTTGTACATGGCTCTGCCTCCACACTTGATGTTAATTAACTCAAATTAAATAAATTTCATTGTAATTTGCAGACTTTTTCTTCACAATGTTAACTGTATTTTTGCTGTTTATTTTCTTATTCTCAGATTTCATTTCTATATCAAATCAATAACAACCCAGATAAAGACATTGTTCTGTTATACAAAGTCCTTCACTGTTCGCTTCCCTGTCCTGTTTCTGCCAGGTCTTCCGAAGCGGCGAAGGCATGGGCATCCGTCTGGACAGTGCTTCTGCCTTCCAGGGTGCTATCATTTCCCCCCACTATGACTCCCTGCTGGTTAAAGTCATAGCCAGTGGGAAAGACTTGCAGACAGCCTCTTCCAAGATGAGCCGAGCCCTGGCCGAGTTCAGAGTGCGAGGAGTCAAGGTAGGACATTCAGCCACATGAGCTTGACAACGCTGGTGCCTAGTGTGCAGCTTTTTCCTGCTTTTATTGGCATTTAAAGTACTGATTGTTTCTTGTGGGGTGAGGAAATGATAACCGGGCTCTGGAGCTGATGGAAAACTTGGTGGATACTGTCAAAATGCTTTGTTTTCAAGCTGAAAAGAAGGCAATTGTCATAGAGCCTGAATGTTTGACATGAGAAAATGATGTGAGATGTACATGATGGTGTTCTCTGTCTGCTATGAAGGAACCCATCTTGAACTATTCAAGGCAGTCTTACATTGTTGATAGTGTGATGCAGTTAAAACTAACTGAAAGAGTGAGAGAGAGAAGGTTTCTATTTCTTGAACCAACTGTAGACAACAATTGTTACAAGTTACTGTGAAGTGACACCGCAGCGATCTTGAACACTCCTTACATCTCTGTGTGACCAGATTACATGCTCTGTTATCGTAATTTCTTGGTTTTCAGACTGAAAATATACTCTGTCAGCGTCTAAAGCTGCCTGATACCGCCGTGCAAGAGGGCAGAGGTGTTTAGTTTAAGGGAGTGCTAAACATTATTACCAGGTGCAAACGCTTGTTGACAGACAGCAGCAGTGTCAGCAAAAGCCAGTATTAGCAGACAAAGGAGGCAGAAGGTAATTAAAAGTAATGAGCTGCTTGCTTTGTTCATGTACCAGTCATTTGAGAGAATGATGTAATGAATTGCATCACGTCTCCTGCACCTTTTTAACTGGGTTTATTTTCAATGTTTTGTATTTGTATCCATAAACAGAAAAAGCTGCCCAGAGTCTCTGTACAAAGATCCGAGTTGGATTCTTTGTCACTTCACATTCAGCTTTAACAGGTGGCTGACGTTTTGTTTGAAGCCAGTTCACATTTTGAGTTGGATGAGAAAGAAGCAATGAATCGACATTAATGCAGATCTCTCTGGTTATCATTTTGATCTCAGCATTCTCCTCGTTTACACACATGTAATTTGCACATTTGCATCTTTTGATTTTCACCCTGCAATTAAAAATTATGATTTTGCTGTCTGGATGAGTCTGAAGTAACCCATGCAGGGAGCTCTCAACATGTGCCTCTTTTTGCTCTGCACGTTGAGGTGAAAGGTGTGTTGAGCTATTAATCAAGCTACAAGTGTAAGCTGCATTGGGCAGCCAAGGTCTGTGATGATTTTGTTGTAGACTATGGATTAACCATGAGTGATGTACACACAGATTCATTACTGTATTCAGTGGTTTCATTTCAAGGTGAAGCAAGGTATGTCAATTATCAAGCGTGAAGGTAAACAAGTCTTCTAAGCAGTGGAGTTGTTATTGTTTTTGCTGTGTAGAAATGTTGGTAAGCTGAAAAATCACTTAAATCAATCATTTCACATTCTGTACACTTTGGTTGTAGCTAAAACAAGTATAGTCAATTAAAAGCTGAAACGCCATAAATGACTTTGAAAAAGGTTTTCTTTGTAAATCAGTTAGCAGACTGAGAAAATTAGCAATGCAATTAGAGAAAAGAACGTCATGTCCTACTTCTTTGCAATAACTATGTAAATTAATGTGTGACTTGACATCCATAGATCAAGAACACATTATTCAATTGTGTGTGTAGGCATTAGTAGCCAGTGTGTGAAGATAATTAAGGTTTATAGGTGTAGAATGTCAGATGATTCAGTACACACATTTCAAATCAATTACATGTTGAATTGGTTAACATTTGCTTTGTTGTATTTCATACTACCCTTGAAGACCCCCTTGAAGAGGAGATGGTACATCTCAAGGGGTTATTCCTAATAAAGACTTTTCAATACACAGTTTCCTATCCACAGTGAGATGAAAATCAGGTCCATGAGGATAAAGGGATTGCTGTAGCTGGTGGAACAGAAAATTCTATCAGCTCAGTTGTAGTAATTCTTCAGTCTGTGTTTTGAATTAGTCATGATGAGGTGAAATTGCAAGTCAAATTGGTCTTCTCAACTCTACTTTCTCATTTAACTTGGAGTGCACTTTACAAACTGTCAGCACAGATTTAATAGATTAATTTTCTCTTCTGATAGAGTGAGAAAGTGTTTGATGTTAGCTAAGAATTAATGGGCTTGTGGACACTGTCCTTTGTCCTCGCCTCTGTAGATTATGTAAACACACTCTAGAAAGTCAACCTAATGTGCCTTTCCTGTAGTGGCTGCAACTGAAATCATTCTGTACGACGACAGCGGCTGTTTCTCAGTGTAAAAATGGTTTTGTGTTCTTTTTGGTAAGGAAAAAATGGAAAAAAATGTGGATAGCATGTGCTGATCCGAGTACTTTCTATTCTGCACCAGCAACCTAGTACAAAAGCTTTGTACTGCACTGAGAACAGCAGACAACAGTACACTGATGTAAAGAACACCTGATAACTGTTACAAGGTCTTATATTAAGCATGTTTCTCCTAAGATTGCTGGTGGCAGACTGAAACCATGGCACCTCTTGTCAAAGACTTGAAATTTAAGCACCATGTCTGGTTTGTCTTTTATTCTGACATCACTGAATTCAAAGTTGTTTAGAGTGGGCTGCATGGGTTTAATGTCCTAGAGTTAAAACAAATCCAAGTACTTGTGTCCTTGCCAACAACTTGTGTGGGAGACAGTGACATCAAAGTATACACAGAGACTTTTTTGTTTTTGCACATCGTCATAGATTCTGTACTTCACTTTGCCTGTGTGACCAATAAGACACATTTGCTAATTTCCCCAGTGTTTTTAAGTTTAATTATTGTAGAGAATTGTTCTGGTGTAGTATCCTTGCAAGGAATCTTTGTGCTCCCTTTGTCCTTGATGGCCAAACCACCATTTGATGCATTCTCTTGTCGCTGATAAACAAACTTTTTATCCATCCACCTTCCTTGTCTTCTCCTGTTTCAATATTGGTGCATGAAATCATCCATGCCAGCTTGAAAAACCCACATTACATATAACACACATTTAACACACAATTATAGCTCAGGATCTGAACAGCTAGTTAACTGCATCCATCTGGCATCAGGTTTTAATCTGTCACTGATTAGCTTTATGCAGTGAATCCCAGATGGCTTTTGCTTCCTGAGAACCTGGATTATACTATACTATTCTTGGTTTTCTACTGCTATTAAAAAGTTTTTGCTGAAGTTAGAAGTTTGAGATGTGATGTCAGTTTGACAACGTCAGTCAGTGAGTCATCCCTCAATTCCCAGACTGTGTTTTCTGTTCTAATTAATTTCATTTAGCTGATATCTAGTAGCATAAATAGTTGGCTAAATTGAGTCTTGAGGATCCAGTGAAATTCATGTTTCTGGACCTATGAGAAGGCACTTGTGGCAAAGGTGGCCAATAAAAATGTTGTCTAGAACAAGGATTGTGGTTTGTTTCCTTGATTTCTGAGCGGTAGCTTTGGAGAGAGTTGTTGTACTGGAATGTCACAAGTAAGTAGCAAGAGTGTTGGCAATAAATCCAAACCCTATTCATTCTTTAGTTTGCTCGCAGAGATATAACATAACCCCTTAACATTTTTTGTGGGAACAGTACTGCTTTTCAGGTAACTGTCTGGGGGCTTCTATAGACATGAAAGCCCCTCAGAATGTTAAGTATAGTAACCTTTAAATTCAAGTTTAAAAACTGAATTCACCAAAGTTTGAGTTACTTTGTTGATGCTTGACAACATGCTGCTTTCCTCAGTTGTGTGGTATTATGTTTGGCCTTTCAGGAAGCTCTGTTTACCTCCTGCCGCTGTGTATGTGTGCATGTCTCTGAGCATTGTTGTGTACGTGTGCACATTTGTGAGTGTGCTTGTGCAATAGATGAGCCGTGTGCTAAGCGGTAAAATGCCACACATTCCAGCAGCAAAAAGAGAGAGAGGGGAAAGTGATGGACAGGAAAGGGACAGGACATGCGGAAGCAGGGGAAAGATAGATAGAGAAGCAGAAGGACAACGGCAAAAGGGCAATCAAGATGAAGAGAGTGTAACATAAAACACCGGCAGGTGGTACAGCCCATAGAGACCAGTACACCTGTGGCTGTCATGTTTGAGTCTGCATATTGCCGGTTAAATATAAGAGAAGTGTTGAAGACTGAATAATGTCTGTGCATTTCCATTTTTTATAGTGACAACCTAAACAAGTCATGATTCTTAAACAGTTTTTTTTAATTTTCTTTTTCAACAGCATTAAATCACAAAAACCCAACTTCACTGTTCTTTAGAAATACCCTTTCCTTCGAATTGGCCATTCGCTAAATTGCTCACCCAATCTGTTTGCAACTGTAACAAGACATTAGAAAACTACTAACACTGCTCTACATTTTAAAAGTAAGAAGAAAGAGGATTTTTTTCCTTTAACACAATATCATGTATGTAGCCATCAACTGTGTATTTGAGACATCTTAGGTAGAAAACGTCATCCATAGACGGCATTTTCAACCAATTAATGGAGCAAACATTAGCTTGATTACTAGCTAGCTGGAGCTGATCTGGTCTGCCAGCAACAGTTGTTTTTTTAACCGACGAATTTGCAGACAAGAAATTAGAAGGCTGCTTTTGTATAGCTTCCCCTAAACGACCCATCATTAAAGCAGAATGAAAGAGTTTCGAGCAGCAAATCTGAAAAGTAGGCTACCAGTTCTTGATTGGGCACAGGAGGACCTTTATCTCCTCCCTGAATTATACACATACTACAAGTGCATCATGTCAGTGCAAGTACATGATCATCCGTCCTGTACCTATCATCACACAGGTTGATGGTTTGTTGTTGGTTTGTTTGTGAACACATGTAGATGTGAGCAGATTATTCCTGGACTATGGAAATATGGAGAAAGACAAATGAAAAAAAGAACAGAAAGAGATGTTTCTCCTCACAGCACTCCCTTAACAGACTCAATATTCTGTCCAGTTTGGTGGAGAAGTCAACAAATTGAGACATTTGTATGTGAGACTGTAGGTTTCTAAGTCTGTCTGTCTGTCTGTCTTCCAGTGTAT